TAATAATTTGTACAGGGGTAATATGATATCTCTCTGGAGAGTCTATACCTCTTAATACAAGAGAGGATTTTGCTTGCTTTCAAAACCGCAGCTTGGCATTGCATGCCATTACTAAGCTTGTGATCTAACAGACCTCCCAGATCCTTCTCCACCATTGATTCCCCCAGTTGTACTCCCCCTAGTATGTATGATGCATGCATATTCTTAGCCCCCAAGTGCATAACCTTACATTTATCAACATTAAACCTCATTTGCCACATAGTTGCCCAATTAAACAGTGCATTGAGGTCAGCTTGTAAGTTGAAGACATCCTGTAAGGATGTTATTCCACTGCACAGCTTGGTGTCATCTGCAAAGACTGAAATGGTATTTATAATCCCAGACCCTATATCGTTTATAAATATATTAAAAAGTAAGGGTCCCAACACTGAACCCTGGGGTACACACTGACAACCCTAGACCATTCAGAGTATGAATCATTAACCACTACTCTGAATACGATCTTTTAGCCAGTTTTCTATTCATTTGCATACGGATTTTCCAAGGCTGTAGACTTTACCTTACACCTTAGCCGTGTGTGGGGAACTGTGGGGAACTGTGTCAAACGCTTTTGCAAAATCAAAGTATACCACGTCCACAGCCACCCCCCCAGTAAGAACTCATCTATGTGGTCTTTTATTAAACTCTCCAGTATCTTCCCAACTATAGAAGCTAAACTAACGGGTCTATAATTATATGGTAAAGATTTTGTAATGTGTAAATGACGATAGCGTTCCTTCATTTATATATTTAATAGCAGCTCTTTTCTCATTATCTTTAGCTTTTTTTTTTAACTTTGGCCGTAAGCCAAACAGGTTTGATTTGAGCCTTTTAAACTTGTTGCAGTTTGTTCACATACAGTCTTTTTGAAGAACTCCTATTTCTGTGTTGTGTTCATTGATGTCAATATTCCTTCCCAGTCTAAGTCTTGGAGAGCAGCTCTCAGCCTTGAAAAATTAGCTCTCTTAAAATTGAGCGGTTTTATTTTTCCCGTATGTTCTTGCTGTTTACAGCTAACAATAAATGAAATCATGTTATGGTCACTGGTACCCATATGTTCTTTTATATGGACATTCGTAATAAGCTCTGCATGGTTTGAGATTACTAGGTCCAGCAGAGTATCATTCCTAGTTGGGACATCTATGAACTGTACCATAAAATTGTCATGTAGTAGGTTTATAAATTTTTGCCCTTTAACTGTTCCTGCAGTACCATTACTCCAGTCAATTTCTGGGTTGTTAAAATCCCCCATTATTATCACTGTCCCAGCCCTTGCTGCCCTTTTGATCTGTACAAGGAGCTGAGTCTCCACCTCCTCATTAACACTGGGAGGCCTATAACAAACTCCAATGATTACCTTTGTAGTACATACCCCCATGTGCAGTTCCACCCATAATACTTCAGCCTCATCACACTCTCCATCAACTAGCTCCTCTTTCACACTTCCTCTGAGATCACTTCTCACATAGAGACAGACACCACCACCTTTCCTATTTACCCTGTCTCTCCAAAAGAGAGCATAGCCAGGAATATTAATGGCCCAGTCATGTGAAGAATGAAGACAAGATTCAGCAATATCAAATTAAATCATAGTTTTCTTCATGCACCAAAGCTTCCAACTCACCTATTTTGCTTGGCAGACTTCTGGCATTGGTGAACAAACACTTTAAGTCACTGACACCTTGTTCACACGTAATTTGCATATTTTTTATTTTCATACAAATGGTACTAATTCCACTGGTTGTTTGTAACATGGGAACCTTCTTATCATCTGCCATAGCCTTCCCCCCATCTTTCCCCATTCCACCCACTAATAAGGACTGACCCCTGTCTGATCAATCTGGCAAAAGATAAGGACTGACCCCTGTCTGATCTCCCCCCCCCCACCAGCCTTCCAATAAACCTCTCCCCAGCAACAGCAGATCCTATTTAGGTGCAAACCATCTCTAGTTTTTCTTATTATTATATACAGTATTTATTTAGTGCCAACAGTTTGCTCAGCGCTGTAATATAGCTATAGGTTGCACCCCATGAATTATTCCCCAGTAATCTAAATAAATACCCTCCAGCCTCAGCCCATCTCATAGATTTGCTACCCAATCCTTTGCTCAGCCTCTTACATAGGTTAATGAAAATTCAGCCCCAGTGCTCTAGAAACCAAATCCTTCCCTTTAAGGTCTTTAGCCATGCATTGAGTTCTCTAATCTCTCCCTGTCTTTCCTGAGTTGCGCTTGGGACTTACTGTTCCTGTACTGTCATCATTGTAAAGAGAGGAGAGAAAGCCACAGGGATTTCAATTACCCAGACCTGTGAAGCGGCTTTCACTCTTCTCCTTGCGGGGATGACCGTAGGGACTAGATGTCTTTTGATTGCTCAGCACCGTGGTAGTACTGTCATCCCTGCAGAGAGAAAGGAGAGAAAGCTATGGGGATTTCAAATTCCCAGCTTATCCTTCTGTGACAGCATGGGATCTGTGCAGGGAGGTTTCCCGCACCGTTCCTATGTAAACTCAGGCTATGATATGCATGGGTTCACACAGGAACTGTGGGGAAAACATACAGTCATGGCCGAAATTGTTGGCACCCTTGATATTTCTCCAGGAAATCATGTATTTCTCACGAAACGTATTGCATTAAACACATGTTTTGCTATACACATGTTTATTCCCTTTGTGTGTATTGGGACAAAACAAAAAAAGGAGGAAAGAAAGCAAATTCGACATAATGTCACACAAACCTCCAAAAATGGGCTGGACAAAAGTATTGGCACCCTTTCACAACTGCGGATAAATAAGAATGTTACAAGCATGTGATGCTCCTGTAAACTCACCTGGGGCAAGTAACAGGTGTGGGCAATATAGAAATCACACCTGAAAGCAGATAAAAAGGAGAGACGTTCACTTAACCTTTGCATTGTGTGTCTGTCTGTGCCACACTAAGCATGGACAACAGAAAGAGGAGACGAGAACTGTCTGAGGACCTGAGAACCAAAATTGTGGCAAAATATCAACAATCTCAAGGTTACAAGTCCATCTCCAGAGAACTAGATTTGCCTTTGTCCACAGTGCGCAACATTATCAAGAAGTTTGCAACCCATGGCACTGTAGCTAATCTCCCTGGTCGTGGACGGATGAGGAAAATTGATGAAAGATTGCAACGCAGAATAGTCCGGATGGTGGATAAGCAGCCCCAAACATGTTCCAAAGACATTCAAGCTGTCCTGCAGGCTCAGGGAGCATCAGTGTCAGCGCGAACTATCCGTCGACATTTAAATGAAATGAAACGCTATGGCAGGAGACCCAGGAGGACCCCACTGCTGACACAGAGACATAAAAAAGCAAGACTACAGTTTGCCAAAATGTACTTGAGTAAGCCAAAAGCCTTCTGGGAAAACGTCTTGTGGACAGATGAGACCAAGATAGAGCTTTTCGGTAAAGCACATCATTCTACTGTTTACCGAAAACGGAATGAGGCCTACAAAGAACAAAACACAGTACCTACGGTAAAATATGGTGGAGGTTCAATGATGTTTTGGGGTTGTTTTGCTGCCTCTGGCACTGGGTGCCTTGACTGTGTGCAAGGCATCATGAAATCTGAGGATTACCAAAGGATTTTGGGTCGCACTGTAGGGCCCAGTGTCAGAAAGCTGGGTTTGCGTCCAAGATCCTGGGTCTTCCAGCAGGACAATGACCCCAAACATACGTCAAAAAGCACTCAGAAATGGATGGCAAAGAAGCGCTGGAGAGTTCTGAAGTGGCCAGCAATGAGCCCAGATCTAAATCCCATTGAACACCTGTGGAGAGATCTTAAAATTGCTGTTGGGAAAAGGTGTCCTTCCAATAAGAGAGACCTGGAGCTGTTTGCAAAGGAAGAGTGGTCCAAAATTCCGGGTGAGAGGTGTCAGAAGCTTATTGATGGTTATAGGAAGCGACTGATTTCAGTTATGTTTTCCAAAGGGTGTGCAACCAAATATTAAGTTAAGGGTGCCAATACTTTTGTCCAGCCCATTTTTGGGGTTTTGTGTGACATTATGTCATATTTGCTTTTCTGCCTCTGTTTTATATTTGTTCCAATACATACAAAGGGAATAAACATGTGTATAGCAAAACATGTGTTAATGCAATACCTTTTTTGTGTGAAATACTTGATTTTCAGGAAAAATATCAAGGGTGCCAACAATTTCGGCCATGACTGTATGTGATTTGGACAGGAATTGCATTCATGTTCAAATTGCATGCTATTCTTTGTGGTGCAATTTTCTTCCATACATTTTGTATTGACGCAAGTTGCACCGCAAAGTATCAGTACTCGGTATTGGTGAGTACTTGACTGAAAGTATCGATACTCATACTCGCCAATCAAAAAAGGGTATCGGTACATCCCTAGCAATTGACATAGCAGAGGTTCTAACCTGTTCCTTCTCTACTCAAAACTAGAAAAAACAGTTTAGCTGAAAATCCATTTTTAACAAAGCAAAGCATCCACAATCACAGCCCCTTTATTAATTTCATTGCCCCTTTGCCTTGCATTTATAATTTTTTTCTCTCGACCTCATGAAAGGCGAATATTATGCATATCAATATTTTAAAGACAAAAGTACTATGACACAAGCTATATTACGCAAGATCAATGAGTTTGTAAATTATATTATAAGTTTTCCACTCACTTTCAGCTACTCCAGTGACCTGTTTGTAGGGTGGGATGACATTCTACATGTACAGGCTCCAAGACCTATCACTCCACTATTAATGGAATCATCTTTTTAACTTCATCAAGCAAAGCAATATTAAACCATTTATTAATATCTCCTTCATTATCACAATAATCTGTGTCTGTCCAATTTGTTCTTTTGCCTTATTATTATATTCTGACATCAGCCAAGCCAGTGGGTAATTGTTTAAAATCTGTTGGCAACTATATTCACACTTCACAAAACATTCATATGAATCTTTTTTCCTGCAGGAATATTTAGATGAACATGAAGATGATTTTCCTACAACAAATGCACACAAAACAGATACTCTTAGTGCATATTCAATGGTGAGTAAAATCAAAGATTAAAAATAACCTGCCTAGGGTTTTAAACCTTTCTTACTCTATGCAAAACTAAAAACAAAAAAATGTTTGCACTTACATACAGTTTAAGCAAATAATGTTTTTTTTTTTCAGTGATTCCCACAGAATTTGATGGTGAGCATTCACCATATGCATATAGCCAAATCAGTGAAAATACGTCCAAGATTTAGCCAATGAAAATGACATGGGATGGACAGATATTTACTCCTACTATTGTTTATGAAGAGGGTGCAATAAGGACAGTGGACCCACGGGGGTTGATTTACTAAAACTGGAGCGTGTAAAATCTTCTGCAATTGTGAATTGTAGCCAATCAGCTTCTAACTTTAGCTTGTTCAATTAACCTGTGACAATAAAACCTGGAAGCTGATTGGTTTCTATGCAGAGCTGCACCAGATTCTGTACTCTCCATTTTTAGTAAATCAACCCCATTGTGTCTTTGTAAAGGATGTTAAACTCCAAGTAGCCTGGGAACCCAAAACCAATGTGCTTGCTATGGCCGTTTTCAGAAGTGAAAAAAGAAGTCATTTCTTTTTCAGAATAAGTTCATAGTTTGCAGTCTTTTTATGGAACATTACAGATCAAACCCTTTTAAAAAGTCTTCTTGACATAGATTAGGTTGTAATGTAAAAGATTCTGAAGTACTGCTGCTTTATTCTCTGGGGTTGTGTCTGATACTTTATCACAGTAGATGACTGGATTAGGAAAATCTGTTCACAGGTAACAACAAAAGAGTATAAAAACTGAAGTCAAGGTCTGAAGCATGTGCTAAAAAGTGCAAGAGGGACATGAAGTTCTCTTCTATTACTAAAAACCATCTTAAGTATCAGGTTAAATACATAACCTGGAAGTAGAACTACAAAGGTGTGTGCTCCATAGATTATACATCCAGAATAAATTATTGTATTTGTGCCAAAAATGGGTAATAAAAGTCAAAAACTAAAATTCTGTTACACAATTAGGGAGTACTGAGAATCTGCTACAGCTCTGCATGGTAGCCAATCAGCTTCTAACGTCAAATTGTTCAATTCAGCATTGACAATATAACCTGGAAGCTGATTGGTTTCTATGCAGAGCTGCACCAGTTTTAGTAAATCAACCCCTATATGAGTTTGCTTCATTTTGCACTCATAGCCATACTAACCACTGGTATGGGTATGAAGACCACAGACAAACATATTCCAGGCATATTAAAAAAACCACCCTCAACATGCCTAAAATGGCATCTTATGGCCCTTATACACTGCACCAGTAGTGCAGCCAGATGTGGCCCTTTGCTTGCTTTTATCTGACCCTTGGGACACTGTTTTCATCCACTGATACCAACAATGGGGCATAATTGCCCCCCCCCCCCCCACTGACACTGATGAAGGGGCAGAATTCATTCCAATGACACCAAAGATGGAGCACAATTTCATCCAGTGACACCAAGAATGGGTGCTGTTCCTGCCACTGACACCAAAGATAGGGCATTGTTTATTCCCATTGGTATCGGGACCTTTTCTACTCCCAATTAAGTCTGAAAGACAGTAAACTGGTTGTTTGTTTAGAAAGTGTGGAGACCCCTGCTCTAGACAAAAAATTGTTTGAAAATCTGTCATGTGGGCTGATTGTTTTTTTTTTTTTCCAATTAATGGGTACAAATACAAAATCTTTTTTTACTTTTGAGATCCAAAAAATAGAAGGAATAGGTTGGAAAACCTCTGCCAAACAAACAGTAAATTGAAAGGTTAATTTGTTTCTCCCCGGTAAAACTTTAACTGTCCATTCTGCACATACGTGAAAAAACGAACGAAAAACTGATTCATTTATGTTCATTGAACAATTTATCATTCAAAATTCCGTCATTACATGATGGCACTATTGTTGATCTCACCACCAAGTTTGTTTGTTATTCAAAAATAAGTTTGAACGCTTTTTCAGCTAGTGTATGATTAGCATTAGATTTAACAATTTCCATCAAAAGAAGTAGCAAATGTTGCAAGGCCCATCTCTGACCCTGACTGAAAGAGGTTTGGCCTTTTCCCCTTCATTACATTATCTTTCCTGACTTTTCGATGGAAGCATTTTTGTGTTATGTTTTGATATTTGAATAAGTATTTCTTAAACATTTGGCTCAGACGTATGTCTCTAAAATAATTAAAATGTTTTATCTCGATATGCAATATAATTTAGACTATTCTTAGACTAACCTTTCTCTAGTCATTTTTGGGTTCAACATCTTTGGTCATCCTGATTGGTTGGGCCAGGATGACATAACCCCCATGCACGAGTACAGGAATAAATTCATCCTGAGGAATACCATGGCTCAGTGTACATTCAAATGTTTATGGTAAAAGTAAAGGGTAAAGTTCTGCTTTATTTTAAAGCGCAGTTCCACCCCTCGGCCCCCCTGACAAAAAAAGATTTTTAAATCAGCAGCTACAATTACTGCAGCTACTTACTTTTAATATTAGGGCATTTTCCTGTCTGGGGATCCAGTGGTGTCCTCACCCGAGCCAATTCTTCAATCGGCTGTCAGGTGCTGGCACCGCCATCTTGACAAAGGGACACCGGTAGTGAAGCCTTGCGGCTCCACAGAGGGTTCCCTACTGCACATGCGCAAAGCTCGCTGCAATTTGTGAATGGGCCACAGTCCTTTGGGAGCTGTGAAATGTCCCAGAGGGCTGTGGGGGGGCCCGAACTTCCGGCTCAGTTTGCTGCTGCGAACTGAGCCGGAAGGGGGAGCAGATGCCTGTCAAAACCAGGTACCCGTTCCCCCCTCCCCCCCAAAAGGTGCCTAATGTGGCAGCGGAGGCGGGGAGGCAGATAAGCGAAGCTTCCACTTTTGGGTGGAACTCCACTTTAATCTCCTTTAATTGTAAAAGTTTAAACAGTTCGCAACATATCGGTAGCATGTCTAAAGTTCTGTTTTAAATAACGCTTCTGCAAAATGTGATTTTCTTGATGTTCTTCTATTTCTAACTTTGTCTACTGCTAATGTCTTTACTATTGCTACTTTCTACTCATTTTCTTTTCTGGATAGAATGCTCAAGTAGTCTCTGACAGGAAGTGGACCCACTTGAGTGTCCCTGATGCTGATGCAGATACTGTGAGTCTTTTCTTAATGAACTTTTTCTGTACCTACTTTCCTTCCCTCCTCCTTCCCATGGAAATGTGAACAGACTATGACTTTATTAGACATTTGTCTAAGTAGTACATTAAATCAAAGGATGATATATATTAATAAGAAGTGAACTAAAAGACAACATAGAATGTGGTGTCAAGGGTAAACCTCCATAATATGTTAGGATACGGAAGCTGGTAGGCACTGAAAAGATAGTTAATTCCTTTTAGACGCGAAGAAATTATTGGATTGTGATATATGGAATGTAATAGGCATAATTCAGTTATCTGCAACTTCTAGGACAGAAATATATAATAGCTTCTGCTCAGACATAACAGTATTAAAGGATTTTAGCATAAAGAGCCCTAGATGCACTGGCAAAGCTCCACAGGCAGTAAAATGAGATTTGCTAATCATACATTATGGGACACTGGAGGTGTACCCAGGTACATCATGTTATGCTGCTGCCTTCGGAAGATAGTTTTCCCTTGTCATCTGTCTAAACCTTTATACCAAGAGATAAGATGAAGACTTAATTTCACAAATTTATTTCTGCTAAAATTTCAAAATTTCACTTCTTTTACATAGCTCATCTGTAACCCTTTTTTTTTGCATTTACTGGTCATTCACTGCTGTTACTATATTTTATACATTTTACCTACGATATAATACAGGGGTGTCAAACTCCATTTCATTGCGGGCCACATCAACATTATGGTTGCCCTCAAAGGGCCAGTTGTATCTGTAAGACTAGATGTCCAGAACACCCCATTCCCTTACATCAGTTGTCGGCAACCCCCACCATCAGAAGTCAAGAGTTCCCCACCATCCAATACTTCACGGTGTGCCCCCCTTACCTTGTGCTGCTGCCAGGAAGAAATTTGGGCTGCTGAGCTTGGAAGCAGAAACTGCAGGGCCTGGAGGAGGACCAGAGGAGGGCTGGAGTCTGTTGAATGCTGAGCTGAGGGGAGGTGGAGATGAGGCGATGCTGAGAGGCTCAGGATCTGTAGGCGGAGTTCTGTCCTCCTCTCTGCTACTGATTGCTGAGTGGTGGGGGGCAGAGACAAGCCACTCCGCAGCTGCATGGAGAAGTGCAGGATCTGGTGGAGGAGTTCTGTCCTCCTGCTGCCAATTGCTGAGACAATAAGGGGCCAGAGACATGGAGGGGGGTGCCGAAACTGCAGGAGAGTTGCAAGGGCCTCATGAAATGGCCTGTTGGGCCGGATTTGGCCTGCGGGCCTTGTGTTTGACACATGTGATATAATACATTGTAGACAAATAGTTTTGAAAGCCCCTTGTGGATGTGTGAGACCATATTGGCCATGAAGACTAATAATGTTTTCCCATTCTGTTTATTCTTCTGTGCATCATTCCAAATACAGCCTGAATCTCTGTAAAGAGATAAGCCTCCTAGCTTTAGTGATATACAGTCCTCACTCCCCACAACCAGGTGCAAGTGAAAGCTGACAACATACCAATCCTGGAGCAGGGTAAGGAGCAACTGCAGTACTTCAGTCCATAATGTACTAAATAACACTCACTTATCCCTAAAAGAAGGGGTGAAGGGAAGGAGAAAGAAGGAGTACCAAACCAGAGCTTACAATAACATATTATTAAAACAAGAATATTTTATTACAAAAGTTAAAAAGCCAAAGACGTACACATACACTATATTTCCAAAAGTATTGGGATGTCTGCCGTTACACGCGCATGAACTTTAATGGCATCCCAGTCATAGTCCGTAGGGTTCAATATTGAGTTGGCTCACCCTTTGCAGCTATAACAGCTTCAGATCTTCTTGGAAGGCTGTCCATGAGGTTTAGGAGTGTGTCTATGGGAATGTTTGACCATTCTTCCAGAAGCGCATTTGTGTGGTCCGGCACTGATGTCGGACGAGGAGGCCTGGCTCGCAGTCTTCGCTCTAATTTATCCCAAATGTGTTTTATCAGGTTGAGGTCAGGACCAATCAAGTTTCTCCACCTCAAACTCGCTCATCCATGTCTTTGTGGACCTTGCTTTGTGCACTGGTGCACAGTCATGTTGGAACAGGAAGAGGGGGGGGGGGGGTCATCCCCAAACTATTCCTACAAAGTTGGGAGCATGAAATTGTTCAAAATGTCTTGGTATGCTGATGCCTTAAAAGTTCTCTTCACTGGAACTAAGGGGCCAATCACTACCCCTGAAAAGCAACCTCAAACCATAATCCCTCATCCACCAAACTTTACACCTGGCACAATGCAGTCAGGCAAGTACCGTTCTCCTGGCAACTGCCAAACCCAGACACATCCATAGGATTGCCAGACAAAGAAGCGTGATTTGTCACTCCAGAGAACATGTCTTCACTGCTCTAGACTGCAGTGGCAGCATGCTTTACACCACTGCATTGTATGCTTTGTATTGCACTTGGTGATGTAAGGCTTGGATGCAGCTTCTCAGCCATAGAAACCCATTCCATGAAGCTCTGTACTTACTGTTCTTCTGCTAATCTGAAGGCCACACAAAGTTTGCAGGTCTTTAGCGAGTTGCTGTTGTTCCCAGTTGCTTCTACTTTGTTGTAATACCACTAACAGTTGACCATGGAATATTTAGTAGCAAGGAAATTTCACGGATGGACTTATTGCACAAGTGGCAACCTATCGCGGTACCATGTTTGAATTCACTGAGCTTCTGAGAGCGACCCATTCTGTCACAAATGTTTGTAGAAGTAGAATGCATGCCTAGGTGCTTGATTTACCAATGATTTGGAGGGGTGTCCCAATACGTTTTGCAATATAGTGTATTTTGACCATGACCACTATGGACAGCAAAATATCATGTAACAGTCTGCTGTGGTGCAATTTGCTGTATGTGATCGGGCGGGAGCCTATTCCATCTTAGCTGAAGCTTGATTGGAGATCGGTACTCCTTTGAGTAGCTAGACATTCTCTTTTTTGAAGCAGCCATATTTAAGAGAATTCACATTAATTCATGTGTTTTATATATTCCTTCAGCTAAACCTTTTTGGGGACTTTTTCTAATCTCCTGCTTGACCCATGAGTATGTGGTCTTGATGTGGGACCCTATTTTTTGGCTTTTCTTGTTTCTTCAAATTTTTGCTAGAGTGTAGCATCAATGATAAATCTATACATTAAGTTTGGGTGGAAGACAGCACTGGACTAGTGCTGCTGGAAGCTGTGTGTAGGGTATAGAGGGAACTGCTTCCAGTGTGTTATATCCCAATTGTAGCTGGTAGGTGATAGACTCCATTGGGGTTACCAAAGGCAACACTTGGCTCTCCAATCACCTAAATAAATCTAGACATTGGCAATGATACTGAGGAAGTAATGTGATTGTGAAACACATCAATCATTAAGACGCCACACGTCTTATAGTCTATGGATTGTTACATGATATTTTGTTGTCCTTAGTGGTTGATGGTCAAAATATGTTTATGCCTTTTGGCTTTTAACTTTTAACTTTTTTAATAAAAACATTCTTGTTTTTATATGTGATTGTCATCTCTGGTTTGGTACAATTACTATTTTCTTTTAGAGATGACTGAGTGTTTTGTTTAGTAGATATTTGAGTAGGAATGGTACCAAAAGAAAACAGGTTGCACCTGAAATTAACACATCCTACATAATTTTTGTTACTTCAGTCCATAACTGAATTCAAACAGAATGGTGTAAACCACATTATTGAAAGCAGTATTTCACACAGGCATGAGATCAGTGAGGAAGATGTGTTCTTAGAATTCCACTGTTAACACATAGCTTTTATTCAGACTTTATCAAAGGGCAAGGAACAAAGAACAGCGGGCATAGAGTCCTGGTTTTGTAACATACAGCACTTCGTCGGAAGAGAGACTATGTAAAAAAAAGAACATTACAATAGTATTCCCATGAATGAAATAATTTGAACTATGAGTAATTACAGTCATTCTCTTTAACATAACAGATACCTGGGTGTCAGTGTGTGGGAATAGAAAAGCACAAAACTAAGCAAAAGCCATGTACAAAATAAGGAAAAAAAAACAACAAAACAATGGAAAAAAATAAAATATGCAATGTTTAAAAACCTACAGTTCTTAAAGGAGTAGGCTTTAACAGTTTTTTAAGGGGAAGTTTACTCAAACTTATTATCCACACAGCAAGCATTGATAGTTGTAAGCTTGTGTATCAACGTTATCTTTTGCAAGGTACACCTCTTAATGTTCCATAAGCCCAAAACAGATGCTTATGAGATTTAAAGAGGTGTTCCTTTAATGTCGAGCCACACTGGATCTTGAATCTTAAATTCGTATAATATTAAGGTGTTCCTCAGGGCTTACTTTTATTTTCTCAGTGGTTTTGGATAAAACTCATATAAAACCTATATGTAACGATGTTTACATATAACATTTACAGATGGCATGGATCCATTTACACCAGTTGTGGACAATCAATTACATGATTTGGTCTTAGTGAAAGTGGATATATCATTGTTTAAGTTCCTGCCGTTACTGAAAAACTTGAAGAAAGTTTGTAACAAGATAGATATGATGGCTTAGGATCCATGACCAAGGTAGCCTCCCTGGCGGTATTCCCGAGTGTAGCTCGGGGTAAAGTTTCAGTACCACAAGCGGTAACCCCGAGCTACACTCGGGCTTACCATGCGGCGCTGCTCCGCCATCCCTCTATCACTTACCTTGTCTTGCGCTCCCACGATGTCCCTCCTGCAGTGTCCCCGGCAATGTAATCCGGCAGATGCCGGCATCTGTCATCTGGGTTCCGTCCCCTGCGAGCGTCGAGACGTACGGGGGACGGAACAGCGGGAAATTTGAAAATAACAAAAGGTGACATTCACTAAAATTACTAAAATCACATTACTAGTAAAACATTACTGTATCAAACCATTTCACATACATTTTGTCCCTAGTGCTTTGTCCTGTGCCCTGCCTGCAATTTTACTGTTCTTTCTGCCTGGAAACTGAGAAACGTCCATGGCATCCAAAAAGCGTCCCTTTA